CTCTCTCTCTCATTCTTTCTCTCAAACAAATAAATAAAATCTTTAAAAAAAATAAAAAAAGAAGACCATTTTCACCCCAAAGAGTAGGGGTTGGGGAGGAGAATCTCGGGATAAAGGGCAGTCCTTTCAAAGGAAAGAATTTTGCTTTATGAGAAAGTCAGTGTTCTTCTTGGTATCAGGCTGCTGCTGACTGGAGACCGTGCCAGTCTGACCAGCTCTGCTTGGCAGACAGGTGGGTGGGGGCCCTGGGCTGGGAGGAGACCTGAGTACAGGGGAGACAGACTATGGTCCTGCAGGAAAAGACTGAAGAGTAAGAATCCTCCCCAATTAATGTCCCAATATCATGCAATTCCAATTAGGATCCCCATAGCAAAAGGGTGTACTCTGACCAAATGATCCTAGAGTTCTCTTTCTAGGAAAAATAAGAAAGTATTACTAAGAAAAATATCACTGATCAAAGGAGTAATTGGAAACTTTTTTCACCAGATAGTAAAACATAGAGGTTTCTAAATAATTAAAACCTTGATAATAGCAATTAGATTAGATAAATAGATCAATGGGACAAGCTAGATAGTCCTCCCTGCTCCCTTGCACAGCCTGCTCAGTCTCTCCCAGAGCTGTGGGGTCACCACCCAAACCCAGTCCTGAGGGAGGAGGGGCCAGAGCTGTGTGAGCTTTAGGCTGTTGATGCCCTCAACCACCTGGAACGCCTGGATCTCTCAAAGAGTTGAATCTGGGGATGACAAGGTAGCCCACACTTCCCCTCATGGTTTCCTTTCTTATCCCACGTTCCTCCTCCAACAGTGCCTTCCTCCCCTAAGTGCGCCCCACCCCGGACTCTATCAATCCCCCTCCATTTTTGGAGCCAGCACACAGGGAGAAAACCCCAGCCTGAGAACCAGGAGTCCAGGGGTCTGTTCCAGCTCTGCCAATGACTTTCTGTGTGACATTGGACAAAAGCCCATCACCTCTGTAGGTCAGTTTCCCAACTATAATATGATAAGAATCCATCTGGCCCTACTAACCATATGCTACTGTGCCAGGAAGGAAAAGGAATTAAAAAAAAAACAAAACTGGCAGCAGAATTCCTCTTAGAAATTCAAATATCTTTAGTAGGAAACTACCTTGATGCTAATTTGGGGCTAAAAGGAGAGTTCCTCCACTCCCAAGGGTATGACGAAAATGGATGAGCAGTGGTTGGCAAACTTGGCTACACATTAGAATCACTTGAGGAGCTTTTAAAACATATAGCTTCCCAGACTCCAATCCTGGCTTGGCAGAGGTTGGCTAGATCCCGTTTCCTCTTCCTGAGCACCAAGGAAGACTACATTTCCCAGGCTCCTTTGCAATAATCCAGGGCCACATGACTAGATTCTGGCCAATGGATGTGGGCCGACTGTCCTAGCCCATAATATCCGTGAGCAATTGCCTACACTCTACTCCTCTTCCAGGACACCTGTGGAGCCTTTTCTGAAAAATGGTGGTGTCAAAAATGGGAAGAGGCTGGAACCCTGAGTCACTGCTTGGAGTGCAACCCAATTCCCATCAGATATGATGTGAGCAAGAAATTAATAATAAAACTGTGTTGGGGGCGCCCGGCTGGCTCAGTTGAAGAGCATGTGACTCTTGATCTTGGGGTTGTGAGTTCGAACCCCATGTTGGGTGTAGAGATTACTTGAAAATAAAGATCTTAAAACAATAATAACAATATCAATAATAATAAACAACTGTGTTAGTTATAGTAGTCAGCCTTTCCAGAACTTCTGATTTAACTGATCTGGAGTAGAATCCAGGCAATTGTTGTTTCGTTTGTTTTTTAACCCCTCAGGCAATTCTAAAGTGCAGCCAAGATTGAGAACCACTGGATTAGGACAGAAATACAAGTGTGGAGTTGCTAGGTATAGTCATGAAATATTCCTTTTTCCAAGGACACCCCAGAGATGCGAAGAAGGTGGTTCAAAAATGAGAAGAAGAGGAGCACCTGGGTGGCTCCATCGGTTCAGTGACCAACTCTTGATCTCAGCTCAGGTCTTGATCTCCGGGTCATGAGTTCAGGCCCCACACTGGGCTCCACACTGGGTGTGGAGCCTACTTAAAAAAAAAAAAAAAAAAGATGAGAGGAAGAGGGTGCAGCAACACGGAGGGAAGCAGGGGACCCCAAAGGGAAAGGTTGACCAGAAAAATATTCTGTGTGCTGGGAATAATCAGGGAATATTTCAGAGTTGGGGTATTTAATATTCAATGCTAAATTCTCATCAGACCTGTTAGGTGGGAGACATAAGTCCTTACATTGTCTCCAAATCACGAGTGAAGTCTGCCCCATGCTCATCCCCATGTGAGTGGATGCTTTGGGGGAAATCAAAGGAAGAAAGCCTGTTCCTTATTTGGTTGTTGCAGGAAGAAGAGAAGGGCTAAAGCCCCCTGCTGAGAATCCTCAGTGAACATTCTGGGGTCCCCTGAAGAATTCAAGGTGGGAAAGGAGGCTGATGCCTTACCCGTGAGGGATTTGACACACACACCCCCATGGTGACATCTGGGTGACATTTCAATGAGCTTTCTATGGCATGTATGGTTGAACGCCTAGAACCAATCCCAACATTAGCACCGGGAGAGTCCACGACATTTTTATAGAGGATGAACCTAAGCAGTACAGGGACCTGCTGAAGGCCACACAGCAAGTTCTGGGCGAAGTGGAGTGGATTAGCCTTGGAGTCCCTGAATCCCCTGGCCCCCACGAGTGCTCACAGACTCCTGGATACCAGCACTTAGAATGAGCATCTTCTGGGGATGGGGCATGTGGCATGGTGCGATGGGAAATTTTGGAAGACATCACTGGACACAAGACAAGTCACTCCGACTTCCATTCCAGAATCATCTGTGCTGGGTTCCCCACTCTCACCCCGTACCAAAGCCATCCACTGGGCCCCAACCAAAGACAAACAGAGCCCAGAAGCCTTTGTTTTCACATTTAATCAAAGGAAAAGAAAGAAAATCAGTCAGAGCAAAAGCTCAAGAATTGGCTGAGGGAGAGGAGAGGGGAAGGGCAACAGGGCCGGCACTGAGTGTGGACAGTGGAGGGCAGAGTCCTCATTATCCCGAGGTGCCTCAGATACAAGCGTCCAGGGAAGGAGGGTAGGGTCAGAGAGGTAATATGGTGGGCACACACCCGTTCCAACCCAGCCGTGGGCCAGGGAGGGAGCGGGGCTTATGTAGGGAGGTAGGACGCAGTCGAAGGGATGAAGACAGGAGAGGAGGGGCCCAGCCCCGCCCCCCAGGCACCACTAGAGGTGAAGGTGCCAGAACAGCATCCACACAGGAGATCTACCCTACAGGGTCAGGTGCCAACTCCTCAGCAAGGTGCGCAGCACCCTAAGCCAGGCTCCCTCCACCTCCATCAGAGGATGCTCTTTCCTTCAGGGGATTTTGGAGGTTAACCAAGGGTAGGGGGGCTGCACCTGCAGATCCTCACTGCTTCTACTCCCAAGTGCCCCAGGTGAGGTGGGAACTGGCAAAGGAAACCATTGCCTCAGGCAGCAGGAGCGCAGCTCTTCCTCCCACTCCTGGGGCCCCTGGGCTGTGGGTAAGGGTGATGCAAGGAAGAGCTGGGTTGAGGATAAAAAGAACGCTGAGGAAAGGGAAAAGAGGAGTATAAAGGTGACTGCATAGTGGATGCAGAGCTATGCAAATGAGATGGGAGCAGGCTTGACCTTAACATCTCATTTGCATATCCTAGGCCAATGCAAATGAGATCCCTAATATAATAAATATATTTCTAACTTTGTAATAAATATTCTGTTTCTTCTCCCTCCCCTTCCCTAGGAAATGGGCACACAGTGGTTCAGGGGCCAGCTCGGGCTGAACCTGCAGCGAAGACTGATCAGACACTCAGAAAACTGGGAAGGACAGGGGCTGGCTGGTGGCGGGGGGGGGGGGGGGGGGGGGGGGGGGGGGGGGGGGGGGGGGGGGGGGGGGGGGCGGCGATGGGGTGGTCCCTGCAAGAACAGCTTCAGCCCAGACGAGATCACAGAGAGGGACGAGGGCCAGATGCCTGGGGAAGTCTAGGACAGCATTCTTAAAAGGGAGTCTCCTGTCTTACACAGTTGCCCTCCCCGAGGACTCGAGGGTGTCATATAGGATAGGGGGACACTAGGAGATGGGGAGAAAGACATCGGGGGAGGGTCAAGGCTCTGGAATCTGGGATAAGGGTCTCATAAGAAATGGGGACTAATGGGGAACCCCCCAAAAAGGGCCCCAAATAGTGACCTCCAAAGCAAAACAGCCCTTTCCTTCTCTTCTCCCAAAACCAAGACTGACACACACAACACCAACGGTACAAACACAGACCAGGTGCCCCAGCCTGCGGACCCTAAGCTGCGCAGGCAGAAACAGTGTGGATGGCGCCCCCTGGAGTTGTACAACAGGGAGCCGGCTAGAGCACAGATGTCCTCTGCCAAGCCCCTGTTCCATGGCCAGCTCACAGGCTCCTCTCTGCACCCATCCTCAGCCCCCCAGGCAGACCTGATGCGAGTGAGCCACCTGGACCCCGCCGGAGAGACCAAGATGGACCGTGGTCCCCAACAGGGAGCCCAGACGTGCCTCCCCCCCCACCGCCCCAGGGACCATGGTCAGTAGTCGCAGGCTCCCGGTCACACGGCTCAGCCTTCAGCTCATCCCTCCCTGCGCTGAGCCCCAGCCGGCCCTGCCCTGCGGGGAGCTGAGCAGCCCTGTCAGGGGCACATCAGAGAAGCCTGTGGAGAGACTTCGGCAGTGAAAAGCTGGGCGTGAGGGAAGGACAGGGCGCAGTCCACTTGCCGGACTCCGCCTCATTCCAAGGGAGCTGGGACCGTACTGCCCCCTGGCGGCGGCAGCTGGCTCAAGCTTTGGCTCCCCCAGCCTTCAGGAGGGCCCCAGGCCTGCTCCTTGGGCCCCAGGGGTGAGAGGTGGGAGGAGCCCCGGAATGGAGTGGGCGTGGCCAGTCCAAGGGGGAAAGGCGGCTGGAGAGAGGTGGCAGGGGGCAGTGTACCTACTGGCCACAGGGTCCCAGAGCAGCTTTCCTCTTCTCTGGACTGACCATTATGGAGGTGACTCTGACACACTCCTGGGCACAGCCTGGCCCTCAGAGAGGGACATCTGGTGGCCAGTGGGCATCGGGAGTGGGCAGCACCTGGGCACAGAGGTGCCCCATGAACACCCACCTCCTCGGCAGTGCACACGCCTGTGCTGAAGCCAGATTAGGGCCCGCTAGGAGCCGTCCTCACCCAGGGAGAGCCAGACGGCCAGGGATGAGAGCTAAGGGTCAGGGCTAGGGGTCATGGCTGGGGGAGGGGATGGATTCAGGGTTCTGGGTCACAGCCCGGAGGGGTGCGGTCCACATGAACAGTCTCAGTACACCCAGCTGACAGGCACCCACTGGGGCTCCGTCCGCAGCTTCTCCATGGCAGCCTGGAGCTCATGAAAGGTCCTCTCCAGGTTGGTGTTGACCAGGCTGAGGTCGAAGTAGTGCCCGTAGCCCCTCTGGATGCGGCTGCTCTCCTCCACGGTCCTCCTCAGGTCGGCCTCCTGCCGGCACAAGGGGACGTCCCGGCCATCAGTGTCCCCCCAACAACCCCAACAATAAGGGGAAACCGCCACCCCCCCCATCTATCCCCCTCCCCAGAGCCCAGCCATATCAGGTACAGACTCCCTCACTCCATCAGGTACAGGCTCACCCGCAACCCTGGACAGACACATGGGTGAAAGAAGGAAGAAAGGAAATAACTTTAGTGAGTGCCAAGCAGGGCACTAACCGCTTTGCAACCCACATAATCTTCCCTACGGCTCTGCAAGGCGGGACTCATTATTCCCCATTTCCAATAGAGAAAACTGAGGTACAGAGAGGTCGCCCGGCCAGCAGCTGCACAGGGTCTGCCTGACTCCAAAGTCAATGCTCCCTCCACTCTGACCAGGCGCCCTTACCTCCGCAGCCTGAGATACACCTCCCAAGCATGCCGCCAGGAGGGCAATCTGGGGTGCCCCCACCAACCACCACCCCTACCTACTCAAAGCTGGCCAGGCAGGGGTGAGAAGGGAACTTTGAATACTGACTTAAATAAGTTCAAGGTGGAAGTTCTAGGGCTGGCCCCACTATGTGCCCAATGGCCCCAGTTGGCTATGTTTGTGACCAGGGGACTTCAACGGGGAGCCCAGCCCAGGCAGCCTTTCCCGGGCCTGAGAACTGCAGTACCAGGTGTGGCCAGCAGATGGACCCCTGAGCTCAGAGTTCTGCAAACCCTACATCTCCTGGAGAAGGCTGCTCCAAGGGGTACCTGGTGGGCAGGTAGGTGCCCTGGGGTTCTGGAACACCTGATTTGAAGCCTCTCCTCCCAGCGCTGCCTCCTCCCTCCAGCCAGCCTTCCAGCCTCCAGCTTCCTCTTTCCCTTCAGCCTTTCCCTCCAGCTGTAAACGCCCTCAGCCCACCTGGCCCATTCTGCCCCAGATCTCCCCCTGGCCCTCTGGACTCCCTTTGGTAAGCACTCTGTCCCCACAGAATGGACGGAGCTGTGGGCCTGGCAAAAGCTCCTGCACCCCAGGCTAGCCGTATCCCTGACTCTGTGAGACTTTGGGCACTTCACTTCCTTGCCCAGACCTCTGTTTCCACACCTATAAAGCAGGAATCACAAGTTCAACCTCACTGATACCTTGGGTGGGCCCCCTCCCCTTCCCCAACACCACCTTCTTCCCCTCATCAGCCCCAGCCTGCCCTTTCTCCCAGGCAGCCACCAGACCCCCTCCACTGCATGTCAGAGCCCTCACCGTGAGCTGCTTGGTGGACACCCCACTCTCCAGGGCAGCCCGGTTCATGGCCCGCAGGGTCTCAAAGTCAGGGGCCTCGATGAACACCACATAAGGGACAAACTCAGCTGTTCTCAGTACTTTCACTGCCTGCAGGAAGAGAAGGGGATGGGGGAGTCTATCCCCCACGGACATCCTAGAAGGTGGGGGAAGGATAGCTGCAGGGACAGGTACTTGGAAATGGTGGGGAAATGGTACCTGGGGCCCCAGAACCTGAGTCCTGGGGATGAATGGTGGAGGGACAGCTGGTAGGTGGCTAGAGGAATGGGGGGCCTGGGAGGCTGAGAAAAAAATTCTAGGTGGGTTGGGTCCCTAGCAGTAGTTGAAGGGTTATATGGGGGCTGCTTGGGAGACCAGTGCCTGGAAATATATGGGGAGTGGGGGGGGGGAGGGCAGCAGAGCGCCCAGAGGGGATATGGGCAGGCTGGGAACACGCAGGCTGGGGCAGTACCTGGGGGTTGACATCCAGCACGCACACCTTGCCGGCGGCGACCACACCCCGGATGGAGTCGATACGTGTGCCATACAGGTTGCCCTCGTATTCGCCATGTTCCAGGTAGCGCCCCGCGCGGATGTCGGCCTCCATCTCCCCACGGGACACAAAGCTGTAGCCCTGGCCTTCCCGCTCGGAGTCCTTGGGCCGCCGGGATGTGTCTACGGGGAAGGAGGGGCTGACTGAGCACAGGCAGGCCGTGTCCCACCTCAGACACGCGTGCACGTGTCCTACAGGGGCCGTGCAGCCCAGCAGGTGCAGCCCCTCTCCACCTTCACAGTACTGCTGCCTTCCCACGTTCCGTGCCCTCACCCTCACCACTGACACACACGGATCCGAGACATCCATATTGAGGGGACCTTCAGAGTTCACTGTTCCATCCCAGCGCTCACAGATGGGGGGCTGAGGCCCAGAGAGGGCGATGTGCACCTCAAAGCCACCCACCAAGGTCAAGCAGATCTGGGGTCAGCCCTCAGGTTCCTGCCTCCAGGAACCAGGAGCTCTCAGCACCCCTGCTGGTTCTGTCACCACACGCGGCCCTGTTTCACATGGGCTCCCAGCTGGGTTTTTAGCAAGTGAAACATGAGAGAAGGCGAAGCAAGGCTTGTCCAGCCCACGCAGGCCACAGGTTCAAAGGACGGCTTCCCGAACACTCTCCAGCCTGCAGTTCCCCCATCAGCCGCAGAGGGCGCACCCCCCACACCTCCCCCAAAAGTACCCCTTGACTTGATGCCCATGCAGATGCCCACTCATCGGACGTGGCCCTGGCCCCCAGGGCAGCCCCGGCTCCTGGCTCCCCACCCAGCAGGGCCCGGCTCCCACTCACAGGGCACTGTGGTGCCGTATCGATCTGGATCCCACATGATGAGCTTGTTCTTCAGGCTGCGCCGGCCCACACCCTGGGCTCCGATCAGCACCAGGGTTTTCCGGCGGAAGGGAGGCATGCGGGCCACCTCCTCATAAATGAGCAGCTCATGGCGGTCAAACTCTGAACACAGGGAGAGGGTACTCATCGGGCTACTCAAGTGGCACGGGTGGGGCCAGGGGCCAAGGATAAGAGGGCTGGGGCCAGGGGCAGCGGAGAGAGTAGGCAGGACCGAGTAGGCAGGACCGAAGACTGCAGCATCAGCACTGGGAGAGCATGCGCACAAGTCACTAGCGGCTGGAGGGAGGGGGCATGCCATGCCGTGTTAGAGGACAAGGAGGGGGCCTCCCACACCCACCTGCATTCTTGGTAGTCAAGTACATCATTCGCTTCTTTTTCTTTCCTGAAAGACTGCCACACAGGGTCCCTGGCCACAGAGAGATGGGCGAGTGAGGCCAGGCAGGCTTGCGTCAGATCCCAGATTAGGCGTTCCATCGGGGGGACCCTCATACCTGAGGTGGGTGTCAGCTCCAGGTCCCGTTTGACAAAGGCTTTCCGCTTCTCCTCCAGCAGCTGGCTGGGGATGAGCCCAGCGCTGCCCCCTTCCACATGGCATGCCTGAAACGGGCAGTAGTTGAGGGGTGAATGCCTGAGCGAGAAGGCACCTCCTCAGGCCCTCGCCTCCCCCACACCACACCTGGAGGCACCCACCGATTGCTCACCTGCCACCAGTTAGCGTCGTCCTGGTTTACAATCTGCAGTAAGTCCCCCGCATTGAAGCGCAGGCCCGCTTCCTTGCAGGGGATGAGGCTGTCTCTTGCAGGGTCATAGTCAAAGTGGCATTTCACAAATACCTGGCCCGAGGATCACAAAGGGTCAAGGGAAGAAGGGAAGGCTGGAGGGCAGTACCCTTCTCAGAGCAGCCCCCACCCCACTTCCCCCTCCTGAGGGTGGGGGGGTGTCACACAGGCCACCGTCTTCCCCCTACCCTCACAAAGATGCAAGAGGCTCGGTCATGCCCCTCTCGAGGCATGCTGCCCCCAGACCCGCCCAACCGCCTCCTGGTACCAGCCTCCCTTTGCATCTAGAACAAAAGGACTCAGAGTGCTGGGGCCCCTGCTCAGGCCTGGGGCCATGGACCCATCCACCGAGGAGAAGGCGGGATCACTGGGTAAGGGACACAATCCTGACACCTAACGCAGGATCCCTCGGTCCACTCACACCCTCCGCTTGGCACAGGGGGCTCCGGCAGATGCAGGAAAGCCGGTAGGAGAAGGTGGACAGAGCAGCCAGACCCCCACAGTCCCCCAACCAGGAGGCCTCGGTACAGGACACGCGGCAAGCCGACGTTGCGCATGCGCGCACCCAGTACACGTGGGCAGGCCCGGGCCTGCATGGACATCCGCGCTCATTGGGGTACCCCAGGCCTTAAATGTGCGCATGTCCCTTGCACATGTGTATGAGTGCCCACGACTAGGTCCAATGCACGAGCATGCGGGAGATGGGGGACTCCTACCCCCGGCCTGTCACCCCGGCGGCAGCCCCTTGGGCCTCGGGCTGGAGGTGGGGGGGAAGCTTGGCGGAGGGACCCACCTGGCGGGGCAGGTGGGGCTCCTGGTAGCTGGGTAGGATCTTGAGGATGACGCTGCCGCTGGCACTGCGCAGGAGCTCCTGCAGCGCGCGGGGGTCGCTGCCCACCGGCTGCCCGTTCACCTCCTTGATGATGTCGCCCACGTGCAGCAGGCCTTGCTGAGCCACCATGCCCCCGTGCAGAATGCGCGCGATCACCAGTTCGCCGCCCTCCACACGGAACGTCACGCCCTGGGGCGATAGAGGGCGGGTATGATGAGGGCCCAGCTGCTCCAAGCCAGAATCTTCAAATGGGTCTCCTAAGAGACCCTCCATTCCCATCCTCCTGGCACAGTCTGTGTGCAGCTCAGATGCACAGTGCCTGTGGTCTCCTGGGGCTGCTTGGGCCCGTCCCGGGCCAAAGCTGGTCCCATCTTCGTCTTCAGCCCTTCCTACCAGATTTGGTGCCCGCTGGTTATTCTCAACGCCCCCTCCAGATCCCACCCCCAGTCCTGCCTGGCGGCCTCACCAGATGCTCTCCAGCAGTCTTGCGGATGCCCACCATGCGCACTGCGTCGGGAGGCACCGGCTGGTTGCTGAAGGTGGGGTCCAGGCCAGGGCTGGGGGGTGGTGTCTCATAGGTCTTTGAGGCCACAGAGTCGTGTGTCTCCAGGAGGGACTGGGGCGGTAGTGGAAAGAGGAAGGACCATGAGACTGTCCCATGGTCTCTTCCCATCCCGGCGCTAACGTCCTGCCAGCCCCCCTCCCAGCGGCCTGCCCCAGCCCAGGGCCGAAACCTGGAAATGGGGCTCCTGGAGGATGCGGGCCAGCTCTGCGGCGGTGCTGCTCTGCTCCGCCAGCTGGGCCAGGTCCCGGAGGATCTCCTGCACCAGCTCCAGGTTGTTGTCCCGCACAGCCTCCAGCTTGGTCTCCTCCAGCCGCTCATGGGCCTGGTGGGGGCAGAACAGGTGACACCTGAGGCTCCCCAAGAACCCTGGGGTACCGTACACTGTCCCCTACCCGCTCAGATCCTGACTTCAGACCCCACCCTTAGCATTGCTTCTGATACCAGCTTCAGATCCTCACTCACCCAGACACAAGCACCTCACACACCCGCACACACACCTTGTTTCCCCCTTTCTCCCTCCAAACGATGATTAGGACCCAGTTTCCAGAAGGGAGAATACAAAGGACAAACCTGCATTCCCATCCTCTTGTCACAAAGGGCCATTAAAATTATCAAGCTGTCCCCAGCCCCCCAGGACCTTATAAGCATGTGACTTCAAGGACAGCTTCTCCCACCTGACGGCATGGTCTTGGACATCCTGTAGCCCAGGATGAGGAAGCCAGGGAGGTGGAGTAACTTGCTCAAGGTCACAGGGACCCGAACTTGGGTCTCCAGACCTTCAGGCCAGTGCTCCCAGGGAGGGAGGGGACAAGAAATCAGTACAATTGACCCTTGAACCACATGAGGGTTAGACACACCAACCCTGCACCGTCAAAAATCCATATGTAAATTTTGACTCCACAAAAACGTCTACTGTTGACTGGAAGCCTTATGGATAACACAAAAAGTTGGTTAACCATATCTTCTATGTTATATGATTATATACTGTATTCTTACAATAAAGTAAGCTAGGAAGAAGAAAATGTTAAGAAAATCATAAGGAAGAGAAAGATATTTGCAGCACTGAACTTTATTGAGAAAAATCCACACATAAGTGAACTCACACAGTTCAAACCCATGTTGTTCAAGGGTCAACTGCCCACGGTACCAGAAGAGGGCCCTGTACCTACTTGTTGCTTCACTGACCCTGGGCTCCATGACAAGGTGCTCTGAAAGAAGGGAAAGGCAGCTTTCACCAGTGACCAGCCCAGCAGGGAGAGTCATGTTAGCTGGGTCAGGAAGTAAGGAGTGCCATTTCAGGGATATACATGAAGACTTTTCTCTCTGAGTCATTTGAAAAATAAGTCACCTCACCCCAGAGTAGTTCAGCATACATCACCTAAAAACAAATAGGAGGTCTGCCACATAAACTACAATACCATTATCATACGCAGGAAGTTCAACATTGACACACTGATAGAATATCATCTAATAGACAGTCTCTATTTAAATATTCACTGTTGTCCCAAAAATATCCCCCTTATAGATTCGTTCTTGTTTTTTCCCTGATGGACAATCTCATCAAGGACCACATGTTACATTTGGTTGTCACATCGTTTTATTCCCCTTTAATCTAGACCAGATTCCAGTAACTTTTGGTCTTTCACGACATTTTCGAGTTCAGGTAAGTCGTTTGTAAAATGCCCCACACCTGGATTTTCCTGATTGTTTCCCCATGATTAGACTCAGGTTAATCATTTTGGCAAGAGGTCTACATAAGCGATCTTGTGTCTTTCCCATGCCTTGAGACCCTGTGACTATTCTGTTCCCCCAACAATCTTTCTCTGATGAATTTAGCATTCATTTATGACTCAGTTCTTTTTTTTAAGTGGCGGGGGGGGAGAAGGGGCAGAGGGAGAGAGAGAGAATCACAAGGAGGCTCCCATGCCCAGCACAGAGCTGGACGCGGGACTGGATCTCATGACCCTGAGATCATGACCTGAGCTAAAATCAAGAGTCAGGCACTTAACCAACTGAACCACCCAGGTGCCCCCATCAATTTTTAAAATTGGGGTTTGCAAAATGGTGATTTTCTAACTCCATTTTTCCTTCTACATTTATTAGCTGGCATTCTACTACAAAACAGAGCTTGTTCTTTTCCCCACCCTCCTCCTCCTCCCCCACACCCCCTCTCTGTATCACTGTGGATTCTTTTTACCCTGTGTTCTAAACCATCACCATCACTATCTTCATTGTCTCAATCTATCCCAAACTTGTGCAGTGGGATCCCCAAACATGCCTGTGTCCTTTTGACATGTTCCCATCAGCCCTTGAGCACTTTCTTCCTTCTGCCACTACTTTCCCTACCCCAGGTCTGGGCTCAGCAATTTCTCCAAGTAACTCAGATTCCTTTTGGCAGGGAATGGTATTTAGAAACCAAGATCTGGGCAGTTGGTGCTCATTGCTTCTGGGGTGTCACTTATAGCCATCAGTCGATACTGATTGTTCCAATTAAAATCTAACTCTGCAAGCAATGTCCACAATAGCCAAACTGTGGAAAGAGCCAAGATGTCCAACGACAGATGAATGGATAAAGAAGATGTGGTATATATACACAATGGAATATTATGCAGCCATCAAAAGGAATGAGATCTTGCCATT